GGTCCTCTGCCCCCCTGGTACCAACCCCATCTGGCCAGAAGCCCTAGGGAATAGTACAGTGGATTGAGGGTAGATGGCACAATCCCCAATGTCTGCGGGTTTACCTGAACCCAAATCTGTCTAAGTCATCTTGCGGTGCCAGTGCCATCGTGCCTCTGAAACCACAATAGAAGGTACTTGGACCCCGGATTGCCTGTAAATGTGTCGAACACATCAGCTTCTCAAAAGATATAAGTGTTTTACTGAACAACCATTGTTTTACCAAGGGTTTCTTACTACAAAGCCAGGTCAACCATTGTCTTTGAAGGGCTAGGGTATAGTAAAAGGCCCATCCATCAAAGTAAAAGCCCGGCTTGTAGTACCTGGCTTAAGACCCGGCTAGGGACTTCAAAGGGTAAGAGGCTCCATCCCGGCTCTATCCATCTATATACAAAACCCTAGCCCTAGCCCTATAGTACCAAACCCAGCCGCCCAGCCCTAGGGTAAGAGGCTAACCCTATCCGACTACCAGGACCTTCCAAGTTCGGTCACCACCTGCGACATTGAAGTCTACAAAGCGCCTCCATTTCGGAGACCTGTTTCTCGTCGGGTGCTGGCTACTTCGTGACTTGTGGTACTTCTGGCTAGCTGAGCTGTGACAAGTAACTTGAAGTTGTACTATAAGTTCTATAAGTACCAGAGTACTACTTATGGAACATAGTAGTAACTTGTGAACTTATAGTACTTATGTTGGAGGCTACTTATTCTACTTATTTTCTACTTATTTTAACTTATTTTTAGCTAGTTTTTAGCTATTTCTAGCTAATTCTAGGTAATTTCTAGCTATTTCTAGCTAATTTATAGCTAATTTCTACTTATTATATAGCTATTTATTTGTGTATATAGTTTCCACTTTTTTTAACCTTCAATATGAAAAGTTCGACTTGTGTTCTTTTTGTTTTTCAACAACACTATTCAAATAGATATATCTGGACACATGCGTTTGTGTGATGAGTGTGCTTTGTGAAGCGGCCCCGGGGACGCTCTGTTGTGCCTTTTTTGCGCGTTCGTGTTGGATCGGTTGCTGTTTTCCAAATACCTTCATCGAATACCGCCCTATCTTGGAGAACCTCAAGAACGACATCATGAAACTTGGTGAGGCGCTCAAATGAAAGAACGCTACTGCAGCGGTAAAGAAAGAAACACGCAAGCGGCCTCAGGGACGCTCTGTTCTGACCAAGGGTTTTCAAGAAACCTAGCGCAGTGCTCAGATGTATTGGAATGTATTGGAATGTATCGGAAAGTATTGGCCTTACTTTTCATACTCCCCAGAATGTATTGGAATGTATCGGAAAGTATTGGCCTTACTTTTCATACTCCCCAGAATGTATTGGAATGTATCGGAATGTATTGGCTTTACTTTTCATACTCCCCAGAATGTATTGGAATGTATCGGAATGTATTGGCTTTACTTTTCATACTCCCCAGAATGTATTGGAATGTATCGGACTGTATTGGCTTTACTTTTCATACTCCCCAGAATGTATTGGAATGTATCGGAATGTATTGGCTTTACTTTTCATACTCCCCAGGATGACCCGATACATTCCGATACAGTCCAATACATTCATTTTCAATCAAGAAGAACAATCAATATTTTATGTCTAAATATATAGTTCTTGTAAACTTTCAAAGATGGATTGAAACCATAATTTGGATGATGTATTGAAGTTTGGCTCAATTTTTCTAATAGAGATCTAGTCGGATCTGATCTTTCTGATGAAGTGGAGGCCGAAAACGCCGCCGTAGCTGCTTGAAAGAAAAAAGGAAAGCGGCCTCACGGCCGCTCTGCTGCATCAGAGCGTCCCTTAGGCCGCATAGAATCGTTTTATAAAACTTGTATATGTTCAAGAGAAAACACGTTTTCTTTTTGTAATAAATCGAAAACATAGGAAAAAACATAAAAACATAAGAAACCACATATTTTAGACATATCTAAGTTTTACTTATTTCCTAGGTATTTCTAGGTAATTTCTAACTATTTCTAGCTATTTCTAGCTAATTTCTACTTATTTCTAGCTATAAGTAACTTATGTTATAAGTTCAATAAGTTCACTTGATGTACCTCAGCTAGCCTCAAGTACCAAAAGTCACGAAGTACGTAGCCATATACAGCACCAAACCCAGCCCTATTAGCCCAGCCCCCAAAAGGCTAAACCTATCCGATCTACCAGGACCCTTAAGTGGCCTTTAACAGGCCTAAGTGACCTCATCCTGGGATCTCAAAAGGTCACTTTGAAGGTCCTGGTAGACGGCTTCTAGTACCCCAAAACCTGCCCGCTCCATCCATCTCCCCGTTTCCCGTCTCCCCGGTCCACCTCAACGGATCGGCTCCTGAATGGATGGAAGGGGCTGTCACGGGCAGACCCGAAACGACCCGAGGAGAGATCGAGTACACGATGGGACAGGAGGTACGAAGAGGGAGGTACTCCGGGTAGTAGCGCTATAAGTCTTAGAGTAAGTCCGGACTGAAGTGTTTATACAAAATAGGAATGGTTTGAGAGGCGGCACGAAACTCCTGGTTTGCACTTTGGAAAGGCTGCGGTGCGCGGGGGATCCCCCTTGCGCAGTTGAACCCGAGTCTTGAGACGTTCACTGCCACTGCCATCAGGGGATCGCTAAGGTCTTGTTGCCCCATAACCAGTGAATGACTAGCATTCCAAAAAAGTGAACCTGACACAGCACCCAGCTAAACACCATGATTCGTCCATCTTCCCACTAAACACCGACGTTCTTCAGCTCCATCCGCTTCTGAAGGCGTGGAACCCGTGCTTCCCCGGGGAACCCGTGCTTCCCCGCGTCGACCTGCCTCCGCGGCAGATCCGGTTCACCTGGGCGAATCCCAACGAAGCGTCAACCCTAAGAGCCAAGGCTTCCCCTGAAGCCCCTGAAGATGAGTCCAAGGACACCTGTCCTGAAAAACCGAAGCTTCAGCATAGTACAGTGGGTGGCTATGGCGAACTGCAGTAACATGAGGTCCGACCGACCTGTGTAGGGTGAAGATGTTTCAAGCCACTTGATGGAGGTGGTGGGTGCGGAAGGGCAGTGAAGTGCCCCCTTGTTTGATATCTATACCTGCTCACGTGAGGGGGATCTATTATGGTGCATCCAACGCCCCAAGAAAGGTGATAGGATGCGATGGGAACTCGGCGAAGCATGGAATGACCATCCCAGACCATCCACCATCAGCCTCGAATGAGTTACATGGATGGGTCTTTCCCTGGGATCCATGGTTTTCACCCAGCCCCATCTCATCCCTTATCCCATCCGCGTAGGACTCCAACCGTATCCTCAGAAGGTGGGCGCAAACCCCCCAAAACCATCCACCCCAGTCCCACCGAACTGAAACGGAGGTAGGCCAGCCTACCAGGGCATCTCATCCTGGTCGTTTTCCACCAACATGCTGCCATAGTTCCACTGACTTGCTTCTCCCCACCCAAAAATCCGAAGGCGTCGTTCACTCGGGTGCCGGGCGGACGCTGGGTGGAGGCCTCCAACACAGCTGGCTGGGCACAGTCAGCGGTGAAGAACACACACAGGAGGGAGGGAGGAGAAGTGGGACCATACTGGACCCACAAAGCTGGCTCTCAATGATCAAACCAAAATCTTACAACACATGATATACATGACCTAATTGGAACTTGAATGCACGGATGGGTGATATCTTAGGATATTTTGGTGTAATAGGGATCCAGTCGTACCGAACCTCAGAAGGTACTTACTTGGACCCTCAAAACCCACATAAGAGCGTCTCCAATCACCGTACCTGAGAAGGTACGAAAACGGCTCCCAAACGGGAAGAAACACACATTGGACGTCTTCCACTGAAATGGCCCGAGGTCAAAAACACCCAGATCCGATCGAACACTGCGAGTGAGAGGTCTCCAACCAAACCAAAAAACAACCAATGTATCTACCACACCCCCAGTCGGGATGGTTCATGGACACCCCGGACTGATCACAGCGTTCAGGGGCTATAAATAGACACCCCCCACGGTGTCGGGTCCTGGTATTCTACAAAACATACATCGATATCGAACAACAGGACCTAGTATTTTGGATCCGTTTTTGTTGGTCCTGATATTTCTATAAATACAAACACCACCGACCAAACCGATCCAAAAACGCTTCGACGTCCTCGCCTGGGCGATTCCAAGATGTCCGGCTCACCTGAGGGGAGCCTGGGCCAGCTGGGCTGGAGATGCATTGCAATGCATGATGAAAAGAAGGTGATAGATGGTGATAGTATCGCTAGTAGGGTGGAGGCCATCGCTAGTAGGTTGGAGGCTAGCACTAGTAAGGGCTGAATGATCAAAGTCTTAAGATGCATCGGGATTCATCTTGGGAGTCCGATGACAGTGATTTCCAAAAATCATGCAATGGTCTACCAAGGGATTTGTCCTAGGCTTCTGCAAGAAAGAGCTGAGACACAGCAAATCCTCAAAGGAGGGGCTTGTGGCAAACAAGAGCGGCTCGGCCTCCAGAAAATCAATCCCAGACACTCCATGGGACTGCCATATATGCCGCCCCATTGACCCCTGTTCAACCACCCCAACTGATTGGCAGCCCCTTCAAGATCTGCTATACCCAAACACTCCATGGGACTGCCATAGGACTGCCGCCCCAGAAAGACCCCTGTTCAACCACCCCTGGCCGTTTCTCGGCAGTCCTATGGCAGTCCCATGAGTCGTGTCTGGGAATCATCCGTGCAATTGAGAGGTGATGGTACCCTCCACTGCAGGGCTTCAGCTCAGTGCTGCGAGCTCTTGTCGTCTGTTTTTCGGTCCCGCAAGTGTAGAGGAGCCGAGGTTTCTCACAGCAAGTGGAGACTCTTGATGAACCGCCCTCATCTGAAAAGGTGGGTACAATCCCAATCTAAAGGTTATGTGGTTATAAATCAATTAGTCATTATAGTCTACCAGGAGTCACATGGAGTTGGGTGGTTGTCAGTCCCATCCAGTGAATGGATCATGGGAACCCCGGCTTCCAAGTTAGGCACCCCGTCTTGTGACTGCTGGTACCTCTATGTCTAAACCCATCCCTCTCGGATCCTCACATCGGCCGTTCTCTTTTCACGCGTCGTTCTCTTCGATCTTGCGGTAAAAGGCAACGTAAGTTTCAGCTTTCAGAACATCTTCCAAACTGCATTTGGTGACCACTGCGTCATTGCAGAAGTACCTCAGAAGTGGAGGCGTCTCTGGCGTGGCAACGTCTTCAGTTGGGACTTGTCGGGGCCCCGAGAATGGGAAGAGCTCGTGACCGGCCATATGGATAGGACTGACCGTGTCGATGGTCGACTTAGAGAACATGGTGGCATCCTGTGGCTCGCGGGGGTGGGGTCAGCAATGGGTCCAGGGCCATCCGAATCGGATGTCCTTTGACCCCCCGAGACCATTCTCTGGAAGTAATTACTTTCACCTGCAAGACCATCCGAAAAAGAGGTACCTGGACCCTATGGGTAAGATGATCCAAGCAATGAGTATCAATTCTCTGCCGCGGACTGTCGCGTGGGAATTGGCACCATGAAAGTATGCTGTTACTGCCTTTTGGGGGGCAGAACTGAAATCCTCAATCTTCAAGCCAGAAAGGTCAAATCCATGTCCAAGCCCGCTGAGTATATAGTTGTCTACAGCAAGGACGACCAGCTAAGCTACAAATGCCTTAAGGTTAGAACACAGGGCCAGCAAGATGGGACTCAAAAGTGCACACGAATGAGCAAAGTTGAGACTCCGGCTTCCCCTACCCTTCAACCACCCTCCTGTGGACTTCCTGCGTGGGACGCATGGTGTATATATATATATTATACATACATATAATCGCATGTGGATCTGCTATACCCAAACACTCCATGTATGCCATATGCGCCTACATTGACCCCCCAAACCACCCCAATGTAGGCATATATGACATGGAGTGTCTGCGATATAGATAGTCGCTAGCAGACTCGAAGTTCATCGTCTGATCCCACACCGATCTAGATTGATCCACCTGCTCCAAGGCGGACCGCACTCTAGCACTCTTCGGGCCAGGGGGATTCGGGGCTGCAAATGTCAGGGATTGATTTGGCGTCACGATTCACGTCAACGAGCATGGCCACGCCGCCACGCCGCACACAAAACCATGCTTTGCCTCCAAGGCACCAATTTGCCTCCTTCTGCGAGGGGCCCAGATTCACATAGGCAGTGTAGTGACCACCCTGGAGAGTAGAGCCATGATGCTGTACAATTCCGAAGAGCCTTGCAGAACACAAAGGCCAGTCCGCTCCCGACACAGCGTCTGACATAGCATGGGGGTACTTCATGAGTCATCTGGATTTGAAGCGGGTATGCAACCATATGGCGAGTCATCCAATTCCGGGCACCCCATGACAATGGCCAAATCGAGAACTCATCGAAACCCAAGTCACTCATACTTGGTGTTCTCATCCTCACAAACCGGCAGCTCCTGGAGTTCAGCCAGCCCAACCCCCTTAATTTGGATCCAAACAGCGAGACCTGTGCCACACCGATGTCCGAAGTCAATGGCACTGGCACAAGCTGCTTTGGGCCTATGAAGCCTTTTCGAGGGCTTCCCGGATCCAACGGGTTCAATTCCTCACCTGGTGAAGCGGCATGGAACCAGCTTCGGCCTCCAAAAGGCCAAAAGAAAAAGCCTTGTTATATAACATATATATATATATACAACTGACAACAGGTGATCCCCAGCCAAGCGCCTATGGGTTCTACATCGGTTTTCGGTGATTGGACACATGTACCTGGACTGACCCAGTATCCTCAGAAAATGGGTTCCATGACCCGATCAAAAACCGGTCCAAACGTACCCACCCAGACGCTCCAAACAGCCCGACCGGTCCCTCAAAACCTAGGGGCTTGAGACCCCAGACCCCTCCAGAGGATTCGGGCCCCTCCATATGAGGGCCCAGGGTCGCGTCTGGGCACTTTCCAAGGTGCAAACGGGTCGACTCCAGGCATCAAACAGTCCGGACACAGTGGTACCTTCGAAGCCTGGAACTCGGGGAGGGAAGGACCAGCCAAACGCCATCACCAAACCGGAACCCCGGCCAGGACCCAGCGCCAAGCTGGGACCCATCCTTACCCCACATCCTACCCCAGGACAGGTTCGCCCTGGCGCAGCTCTCCTGCTTCTCGCACTCCTTCTTCAAATGCCTCATGCGCAGAAGGGGAGGACTCACAAGGAAGAGGGCACGAATTCTCCAAAACCGGTTCTGATGTCCAGGCTTCATACTTTGAATTGGATCTTCTATGGAGAGTGCAGGTACTACGTTAAGACGCACTTTATATAATTTGGCGGGACACTTCAGCTTCAGTTCCTGGAAAACACCCCCGCCATAGCTTCCTAAACATCGTGGTGGTTTTTCTTTCTGTGGTGCGTGTAGCGCGTATTGACATTTGCATGTGGGAATTGAACAGGTCTTTTCCCAACCTAACCTTTCTGGGCTACACAACAAATCAGCTTAAAGTGCCTTTTCTAGGCTAGTTCGGCAACGAACCGATCAATACAAACGTCAACTATAGCACCACGGTGTCGAATGGCGCGTGGAAGGACAAATGCTATCAACCACCCTTTCCGTGGTGTCTGGCGAAGATGTCCTAGTGAAAAGAAACAACTCCTGGATGATGCTACGAGATGCTATGAGGTCTTGCAATTTCCCATGCGTGCCTGGGGGTCTTATATTCCCCGGGGCAGTGGTTCCAAAGACTAAAACCATAGACCTAGAATCCCTGGTTCCTTATAGTGGTTTGCCTGGGATGCACTGGGTTCATCAAGATCCTACATGCATCGCTCCTTCGACGGCTCCCGAGTTGGTTGGCTTGGTGAAGCTGCTTCGCTTCGAGCGGAGGAACCGATGAGATCCCGATGCCGAGCTTCGGAGGTCTAAAAACAACCATGTCTTGGGGTCTATCCCATTAACAGTTCAGTAACACGTATTTTGTTTCAAGAGATGTCAGCCTGCAACTGAGCCCTATCATCCAAAACGGGCCCTGCGTCCATGGGATAGACCCAATATAAACATAGTCGCCGGAAATGAAATTCTTGGATTTACCTGTATAAGGAGCCTGGAAAAAAGACAAACAGCACATAGTGGATTTCCATAACCGTTGGGAAACATCGCCTCAAGCAAAACCATTAATTTAGGCTTGTTTGGAGCCAAACATGCCTGGAATAACTAGGTAACTAAAGGAACACAACACTTTCCATTGTTTTTTTGTGCTGTGGTGACTCCAATCGCCCCCAAAAGACCCTTTTGCGCTTTTGCAGGTGATCTCTAACCCCACTGCCTACAACTCTATCACTAACTCTATCTCTATCTCCACAAGTGCAGTCTGACCCAGTAAAGCTTGGTCCTTTACCTTCTTGAATAGTGTGTTTGTATGACCAACTTCAGTAAAATGAGGTCATTGACTTGTAGGTTATACTTGCCACCAGGCTCGCTCCCTATATCGCATGAACAGGTTCTCACTCACGCTCCCATCTCTCCCATCGCGCTCGTTCACCCGAGCGGAACGCGGAGTTTCTCCGCGCCCCCGTTGGAGGCCTCCACCCCCACCCACCTGCCGGTCTCGGGACTCTTGGAGGGTCCCTGCGATGTCTTTCTTCATGGTCAACTCGGAGAGGTCCAAGGAAGCCGGTACTTCCACGCGAGTCTTGATCCTGGGATGGCGGAAGGAGAAGCGCAGTCAGCCGAGCCAAACGGGCTTCTTGCGGATTTGGGCCTCCTGTCCCACAGCCTCAGATAGAAGAAGGTGGGACTAGGGCGTGACTGGGTGGGTGGTTTTGGGGGGGTCTGTCCCTACCTTCTGAGGATGTGGGACAGGAGCGCTATAGGGTTCGATCTGTTCCTGTCCCTCAGAGAGGGCATCTGGGCCACGACCGTGCGTGTTCAGCGCCCAAACGAAGGCCCTTTGAAGGTGTTTGGGATGGTGGGCTGTGTCGAAAACATGTCCCGAAGGGTTTAGGGGGAAAAAAGGGGGTTATATATGCGAGTAGGAAAGCAGTTGCTTTGATGGAAGCATCTTGCCAAGCACGTTGGAAGCCTCCTCTGGTGGTAAACAGCCTATAGCTTTGGGTTCAACAAAGCCTTTCCTAAGCAAATGACCACCGAAAAGCTACCACCAAAAAATATGCACTCATGGAAAGAGCTGTCACTCCAAAAGCTTTGCATGCTAACCTGCAGGGCATTGGATTGCGCATCTACGTGAGCCAAAAACAGCATCATCCGGCCAAAACAAAAACTTACCGCTTACCCTACAACTCAATGACCTCATTTTACTGAAGTTGGTCATACAAACACACTATTCAAGAAGGTAAAGGACCAAGCTTTATTGGGTCAGACTGGACTTGTAGTTACATTTAGCCCACAGCAGGGCCCACAACCACCAAACTTGATGTTCTTGCCGCCCAATCCCAAATATGACCTGTGCCCAACACGGACTATAGGGATCCAAGTACCTTCTCAGAAGGTGATTGGAGGCACTGTTATGTAGGTTTGGAAGGTCCAAGTACCTTCTGAGAAGGTACTTGGATCCTTAGGGCAAGAATCCGAAACCATGGCGGTCTTTGTTCTGCATGGACCGGCTTCAAGTACGCGAGAAAATGGGACATGACCCTATATAAAAATATAGTAAAAATAGGTACTTGTACTCATTTTCTAAGGTATATTATATACTTTGAGACTCCCAGTGGATCTGTCTATGGTCTTAAGAGGGTCTTGGGTCCAGTTCTCCAGGATCTCAGCTTGCAACCGAGGCTCTTCTGCAGCTTCTTATTGAAACCTCAGGGAGGCGGCCAATCGAAGACCCCCTAACAGCTGACTTGGAGTCCTGGAGGAACTCTTCTACCCCTTTCACATGGAGATCCTCCCATTGGAGCAAGCCTAGGCAGGCCTAGGCCTATGACCCCCAAAATGGGTCTAATCTGTGTCACTGGATGAAGCTCGCGAGCAGGATCCCAACATGTTCTACACTGAGACTCCCTGAAATCATGGAAGCGGATGGCATAGCCCCATGGATGACCATTTCTCGACTACCAAACAGTTAAAGAATTGATCCAATGAAACAGCCACTGAAGAACGTGCTCCACATCTACAGCTCCCAGACTATCTCATGGAGCCAAGTTGGGATTGGAGGGCGGGTGGGTGGGGGTGCCAAACTTATTCCTCTCACTGGATGGGCTCATGATGGCCTCCTCGCTCAGCCACTGTCGCCCAGCCGTCTCCCAAAGCCTCTGGTTCCGCTCCTGTCTCTGTCTGGGCACGTTTGAGCTGCACAGTCAAGAGCTTTGGCATGGAGCCGCATAGGTAGGTTTTGGAGGTGGCGTACCTGGGGAGACTGGTTCGACTGGTTCGAATGCACATGAATTAATGGAGTGGTGGCAAATACCACCGGGAAACATGTAAAAAGCCTCTTGCTGGACCCGACTTCAAGTACCCTAGAAAATTGGGAAAATGCAGCCATGAATAAACAGGAGGTGCTTGCACTCATCTTCCCCCAAAGGGGATCTCACCATGAATCACCCACGAACAAGTCACCCGAAGCAAAACGGAGTACTGATCGCCCCCGCAGCCACCGCACAACTTGTTCCAGGCCTATAGATGCCTATAGCACTGCCTATATAGCTGCATATAGTGACTCATGACTCACGCTAGGGATCCTATACCGTCTCAGGTTTTGTGTTCGACACTGTTGTGTAGGTGCCATGGTCGGGTCCAGTCGTACCGAAACCTGAGCTTCGGCACGACTGCTGGGGAGTTCGGTCACGGGAGGGCCAGTACAAGCCTTGGGAGTTCGGGGCCCCAATGGATGCCCCCCATGAAAAGCCAAAGACGTGGGGTTCGAGGCCCTGGGATTCCACCATTTACTTATATATCCCGAACATTCCATGGATCTCCATGGGACTGCCATATATGCCTATACATTGACCCCCAAAACCAACCACCCCAACTGATTGGCAGTCCTAGGGCAGTCCCATGTGTCGTGTCTGGGTATTGGGTTGGAGCGAGCAACCATTGGATTGGAATTGTTGGACCCGCTTGTCGATCAAACCCTCAGGTTCGCATCGAAGGAGTCGGAGTCACTTGAAAAGGGCGCATGAAAACACCTCCATCCAGCCCTGGTAGTAGTGGAGCCCTCTTCGTCCAGCCCATTGGCCACACCGGACCACGGCTAAAGCCCCCCCGAGGGAGGGGGGGCAGATTCTCCCGAGGGATCACGCGAGGCGCGATCCGAAGTGACACATCTATATATATATATATATGTATTTTATACCTGGAGTCTCAAAGTACCTCGGAAAATGGGTACGTTTGCACCTGCCTGCCTTTATAGGGTCATGTCCCATTTTCTAAGGTACTTTGGAGGGTCCAGGTAGAGCTAAGCTCCCTACACAGGGCCCAAGCACTAGGCTAATGATGGCTGAGCTGGAGTCAACCTGTTCGTATCTCAAACCATGGGTACAAGGGACCATTTCTTTGATGGGGGCGTTTTCAAGGAGCTGTGGTTCACCCAGACCGCACTGCTTCAAACGTGTCATGAGCTCATGAGGCAAAGGGCATCTTGGGCTTCTTTCCTTTGGCATCACACTCGCAGCACTTGGCACAATCACCGCAGTCATAGGAAGGTTGCAGGTCCTGGTAGGTGCCAATCATGTATGTTTACGGTTCGGATCTGACTTGCAACTCCGGACATGCGGCAAGTGAATATAACCTAAAAAATCCCTGGCCTACCTCCGTTTCGGTTCGGTGGTTGGGGTGGGTGCCAGGGCGGGGTCTGTGACCACATAGGAAAAACTTTGGAAAATAAAGCAAAATTACACACTCACCAAAGAAAAAGACCCAACTAGTGTGTTGATCATCGTTGGCATCTCTTTCCGATTCTGCCATCACTCCGACCAGTCCATCTGCTTCTTCCGACCAAACCAGTCCATGCAGCCACACTCCACCGGTTGGTTCGAATGCAGCCGATCCACCCCTCAAAGGAAAAGACACAAAGCTGAATTTCATCCATGCATGGAAGAGCTTACCTGGACCTTCAACGGTTGTCCTGGCTGGAGGTCCCTTAGTAGTGGGCTGGGGCTTCCATTGGAGACCCCTTTGAAGGTGCTGGTACATACATCTAACGTAAATCACTCTGCCATGCATGGATGGCCTGGGAACAAACCAGTGACTGCATAAATGTATCCACGCCAGCATGTTTAGCCGAAATACTAAACACCCTTGTCCACGGCCCGTGTAGCAAAATCCTACAAGTCCAAAGACCCAGATCAGCCTGGTCCTGAACAGCTCCTAGCTTGAGTAAGTAGTGCTTTTGTATGACCGACTAAGATGAACTCCTTGCCCTGTACGGATCATGCGGGTGTGACCTCCCAAACACGGGGGTCTCCCTGTTCAAAGGCATACCAATACAGTATTCGAATATCTTGGAACTTCCAGCGCTCCATTCTAAGCGGGTGTCCTCTTCCATGATTGCCTCGGCTCCCGCGAACTTCTGCAAGCAATCCATGAGGCTACAGCTGTCCTGAGGCGTTCTTCGCTCCAAAAACACTGCAGCAAAACATATAATTACACATAACACGTTTGGGCTCCTGGCCTACCTCCATTTCGGTAAGATGGTTGGGGTGGGTGCCAGGGGGGTCTGTGCCCACCTTCTAAGGATATATGGAACAGGAGCCCTAGGACAAGCACAGTGCGGAGAGACAAAGGCGCGCGCGAACGCCACGCATTGCATGCCAAGGTTCGCTGCTAGTCCCTTGGTCTTGACCTCGCCGGCACTATTTCCGAGATTTTGCGCAAAACTGCGAACTTCCTGGGGCATCCAATTCACTATGACACTATGATGATCGAAAGAGCCAAATATGTTTAGATCACAGGCGCAGGCTGCGCGCTCACATCAATAAGATATAGGTGAAAGAACGCTCTCCGCGGATGTCCGGTCCATGGCATCCCAAGTCCTTCCCGGTGGGTCCGCAGCGCCGCGGGTATGAAGAACGGTCCGTGGACCCGACCTCTGTACCTTCGGGACGGTGTCCTGGGCGGGCCTTGCACGCAGGGGGGGCCCTCATTCGTGTCAACCGGGGTGACCAGATCCACATCCCGATCTCCCCACTCCGGCGATCCCTTGGATTCCGGAACATCCGGGCCTGAGAACATGGTATGAAGGTTCTCCGGCAAGTCTGCACGAGACCTGCGCCAGGCGTCCAGCATCGACTTCTGCCGTTCTTGTCGCTCCTCCTGAGGGACATGGCGGGAAGCTGGCGGAGCACATGGCGGTGGAACGGGACTCCCGATGAGAGATGCATTGGGAGGTCTGCCAGTCACAATGGCATTTCTTGGGTGATTTTTCAAAACCGGGCAAGACCGCCGATACAATGCAGGGAGAGTGGGGGGGTCGTGCTTGGAGAAAACAACAGAGATTGGGTGACGTTTTCGGGCATCCAAATCTGTGACGCCGGATTGACTTCGAATGGGCAGCGGCAACGTGAGCGGGGGGGAAAGGAAATCTGGGTGGACCTTGGAGAAGCAAACATGTGTCTCCGAAGGCACCCATCGTGCAAGGAACCCAAAGGTGACGTTGGAAGTTCGGGCTTCATTGACGTTGCCTTTGCAATCAGTTTCTCACTTCTTTTCCCATCTCCCCGGCCCATTGGCAAATAATGACCACCCCACATGCAATCTGGACGTTCAAGACCTATTGAGTTTCTGTGGCCATTTGGGCAAACCAAATGTTGCCAAATTAATAAGCTAACTACCACCAAGAAAGAAATGCTCAGAATTAACCAGCAGCAGCTCACAGCATGACGATCCTTAATCAGGAACCTGCTAGCCAAATGGTGCTCCTAAACCCTTAACCTTGCACTGCGTAACTATCATTTTCGCATACCCTAGGGCTCCAACCACCTCCGTTTCAAAAGTGGTTGGGGTGGGTTTGAGGGGTGGACGAAACTCCCCGAAGCCAAGCCATCTGTACACATGGTTGGAGGGGGAGATGGGGTAGTCCCATATCATAACAAAAACCGCACAGGGGTCTAACTATCTTCTGAGGATGTGGCTGGAGCCCTAGGGATAGGTCCTCACCAAACCCGCCAGTGTTGATGTGCCCAGGCTTCTTCATCTTCTTTCTCATCTTTGCCATTGACGATCTCAGGCATGTCCACTGGTGCATCGCGGTCTTCGCCTAAACAGTATCAGCCGGACGTAGGCAAAGGAGACAAAGCAACGGCCATGCTTGGAGGCCGCTGACTCCCTCAGTTTCCAAAAAACGGTTACCCTGTTCCACCTGCTCTTGTTAAGTGGCGAGACCAACCTCCTCAAAGTGTTTGAATGGAGAAACCAGTTTCCCAAAAAGGTCATCTATTAAATGTCATTCACTTTTCCTGGGTACTAGTAGGTTTGGGTGCATCCAATGGCTTGGTGAAAAGCGCCACCAGAGGTGGGGGCGGTCCCTTGCCATCTCCCTGCAACAAAAGGATCCAAGCAAATCCAAGCAACTCCCCCATCCCAGGACACGACTGGGCGTTCCAAGGGGCGTTGGATGAGTACGGTCAATTCCTGCTCCTGCTTCAACAGCTTCAGCATGGCCTGCTTCGTGGTCTCCTCACCCACCTCTTCGTGATGCGCAGCGAGGTGTGCGGTGTGGGGCTCGAATGGTCCATCCACCCGGCAAAGCCGCGACTGGAGGTGTCCCAAAGACGACACATGTCAAGATGTCCCAGATCTCCTAACCTTAGATGGTCTATATTAAGTTCTACCTTTCGGAACCCCTAATGTGCGGTTTGCAATGTGTGTTCCATCTTGAATGTTCCAAATGGCTCGTTCCATGACTCGTTCCATGACTCGCTCACTGAAGCATGTTCAAACGCAGACCACGGAGACCCTCGAGAGACCCACGGAACGCCGTGCCCCGGGTCGGCCTGGATGATTCGATCTCCCGGACGAACCATACGTTGTCGGTCACCTGAATGAGGTTACCCGTGACGTGACGGTGACGTTGGAGGTCGAACAAATGGGGTGAATATGGAAGAAAGCGAGGGAGGTGCATCAAAGCTGGAGATCCAGTCCCCCAAAAAACAACAGTTTAGAGGTTATCCAGTTTTCCTGGGCAGGATGAGGAGTGTCTTCCGTTGCTCAACTGCCGCCCACATCACTCCTCCTCGGGGATCGCAAGAAACCCCCCTCAGAAGGCAGTTGGACCATCTCCAAGATCATCCCCAAACACCTCAGGATGCCTTTGAGCCCAAAAATTACTGGGACTGTTAGTGGGTTGCCAAGTCGCCTAGTGTGTGCTGCTTGAGGTTCCACCTGTCAACCAAACTCTCAGGCGTACTGCCAGCGATGACGAGCTGATCTTTCTGCAAGGCCGACATGTTCCACTTGAAGCCATAGTCCTTGATCGAGCAGAAAAGAGTGAGGTCCCATGCAGTGCCTTCTGACCATTCTGACCTCACTGCTCTTTGCGAAAAAGTAGCCTGCACCCCAGACTGTGGGGACCTCTTCACCAGGAGAATGAACCTTGAAGTAAGGAGTAGGCTACTCTAAAGTCTACAGAAACTAGTTGATCTTCTTTGGTGAGGGAGGTCATCTATCGCATCTGAAGCGGCCTGGAATTGGGGCTCAGGAACAAACAGCCTTCGTGATATGGCCGCATGAAAGCGAAGGAACGATACCCTGGGAGTCAAAGACTATAAAAGCATGGTACTTTGGTCACTTATCAGTCGGTCAATGTATATATCCCATACACTCCATGGGACTGCCATATATGCCGCCCCATTGACCCCCCTGGCACCACCCCAACTGATCGGCAGTCCTATGGCAGTCCCATGGAGCGTCTGGGTATTAGTCAAACTATGTCATATATAACGATAACCAAGTGACCTCCTTCGGAGCACCAGCTGTTGAAACAAACGGCAAAGCAACCATTGACCAACGGTCGTCGGTCGGTCTCGGTGACAAGCCCTCCAAGTCGCTTGCTTGCCTGTCTTCTCACTTCTTAACCTCAATTGATGTCAAGTAAAGGCCTTTCCCGCAGACTGGTCATGGGACGCACCACTGGTCATGGGCAGCGTTCCAACTCGGATGGATTGTGGTTCGTTCGTCTTCTGCGACGTATCATGTGGATGAGAAATCTCCTGATCCAGTGGCTCTCTGACTCTAGTGAGCCAACGTCTGTTAGGATGAAAGCTTAAAGACCTTGGTCGAAGTCTGATCTTGGCATATCCCTAGCCCTAGCGCTCCCCCACATCCTCAGAAGATCTCAGAAGGTAGGGACAGACCCTCCAAGCCCACTCAAGCCAACCACCAAACCGAAACGGAGATGTGCCAGGAGCCCGCCCTAGGGTGTCGAGGAATTCATCGACGCCAATCCGTCTGTTTTCGCTGCATTCAGCAGCTGTCTGGGACGATGATCATCCCCAACCCAACCAACGCCCGAACGTTCTTCGGTGGACTTTTACAGGACATCTCCATACCCAGTTCATCTGTCTGGGACTGGGCAATGCTCCCGATCAGTTGGAGGCCCCGTTGATTTCAGGGGTCCCCAAACACGACTAATGGAACTGGCATATTGACCGCCCCAAACCACCCCCAAAGCACCACCCCCCTATGAATGCCAGTTCCATGGATTCTCTGGGATCTGATGGGAAGACTCCCTGCGACCCATGTCCTGGAGAAGTGGTGCACGCCCACCCCGGTTCCGAGGATGCCATGGGACCCTGAAAAAACCCATTCGGGTTTGGTGTAGAGGAACATCGTCATTGCAAAGGTGCATGCCATCAGGGTCCATGTGAATCTTCCTGAGGGTCTTCCATAGTGAAAGATATCTTTCAGGGTCCACTTGATGTGTTAAACTGCCTTGGGTAGTTAATCTCCTTGGTGTTCGGGAGTGAAATTAGCTGGCGGAGGGGAGGTCTTTCCAAGCGACAGGATCTCGTAGTTGAACGGACCTTCCTCCTCTTCCTGTTCCTCCTGAGCGCCATCTTCATCGCCGTTCTCATCCTTGGCACGCCAAGGATGAACAAGAGGTCCAAAAGATGCACGTGGAACATGTCCTGAGAACAAACAACATGAAACAACCAACTGGGTCCAAGAGGCTTTGGGGGGGAGACGGAGGCTTCCGGGAATGGAAGTATGTGTCGTCCACTGGGACGTGCCTTTGCACTCAGGAATGGTTCTGACGGAGGAACCTTCATTTGCTTCGGAGAAAATTCGCGCACGAACACATGTAATGTATCATACTGCATCACTGCATCATAAATACATGTATAATATATATATATATATACATATTCCAAGTGAATCTCTTGCTGGTGGGTGCTGTCAACTCACGAACTAGAAATAGGAGCCAGTGGATGAATATCTGAAACCAACACCCAGCTTGAAATAGACCGAACATCGACTCAAATGGACCCATCGTCCGCCATCATGCTTGCTTGGCGCAGGCCTTCAAAGGTGCTTTTTGAGGGGACATTTCCCTGAAAAATCACTGTTTTCCACTTTACTTAATTGAAGTAGGGTGTCACCAATTCCCGCCAAAAGGTTCTGCAGCTTTTCCGCTGAACAGTCGCCCATTCAACCCAGCCACATGCTGCGATTCCTCTGCTTCCTCCACACCCGCGGTGTCCACATGGTCCGCCGCCGGCGAAGGGTGTGGGGCGTCCGGCGGCTTCTCCTCTGGTGCGTCTGCCTCCAATCGACGAAAGTAGGGGGTTGTGCGTCACGAACTCTTCTTCACTCGCATGTCCCCACAAAAATTCAAGAAAAAACAATCCAAACCAGAAGATGCTAAGGACTGGCGTTTGGAACTTAAGGGGTGGCTCGTTAAGGCATGTTACCACATGTTACCACGTAGTGCCCCCTGGTACAAGGAATCTTTTGCTAAGGGTTACCCACACTTCTCAATCACTTTGCCCCCAAAGAACCCGTGAAAGCACGTCCGGTTGGATGGAGGTCCAGCGTCCGGTCGTCCACCACTGGCGCCGGCTTGTGGAGATCCATCAGCGAAAAGCACAGGAAGAGCATGATACCCTAAAGAAGTTCAAATGCCTTTGGATTAAATGGGACAGGCCCACACTCCATGAAACATTCTGGAAGCTAGATATCCGTATGGTTGATGTGCAGGAAAAAGATACACTTCGGACCCACTTGAGACATCTTGAGACAGTTTCCAGTACTTGGACGGGCCCGCGCCATCTACTACAAATAACATGCTGTGAGTCCTTAGTATCCGGCGCCGGTATCTTCGCCCCTCTTCTCGCAACTCTTCCATTTCTTGGTGCACAAATCATTGGACATTTAGGTTGTTTTTTGATTATATAATATCACATATTCAAACCAACATGCAAAGGTTTTAGAAAAAAACATGGGGAGAGTTGAATGAATCAAGATGCAACATTAAGAGATCAGCACGTAAACCAAACCTGTGAAGAGGCGGTTTCCTGTGAAGACCTTCCAAGGTCTCAAATGGCGCTTGATGATCTCAGATTGCCATCTTGGGAGGCTGTGCCGAACATTTTTCCTGTCTTGACCCATTATATACCCTAAGAATCCGGGCCTTCAAACAAATAGGGTTTGGTTCGGCCCCGGACTTCTGCTATGGAGAGTCCGACCTGCCATGGACACCCCAAGATTCTTAGGGGATAAAACTATAGACTAACACCGATGATCTCCATTGATCGGACATCCTGCGGAATGACTGGTCTTTGTACCCTAGGGCTCCAGTCGTACCTTCTGAGCAGGTGGGACTGGGGTGGGTGCCAGGAGGGTCCAAGCACCTTCTGAGGATGTATGACTGGAGCCCTGGGGTAAATGCAGGTCAACTTTTGGACCCCGTGGATTTGGCCCAGCTCCAAGCCAGCACCCGGCCCACAAGGGGTTCATTTCGACTCCTCTGGCGTTTCAAGGAGGCGTTTCAAGGAGCCCTTATACTTTTTGGATTGTACATCTATTGTACATATGGTTGATCGAATCTAATGATTCATACTTCTGAATCCAAGATCAGGCCCAAATCGCCCGTCACAGTTTCGAAGGGGGCTTGGATTTGAAGGCTTCCGAAGTTAATCCAGTGCACGGTTGGTGCTTCTGCATCTTCGGTCGACTTCTGCGCCGCCGCGGGCGCGGCGGCATTGCCGTTCTCGGGCTGCTGTGGAGCCTCTGCCTCAGCTGCACAGGGCGGAAGGTCTTCAGTTTGAGAGGATCCTCTTCGCTCTTGTTGCTTAGCTCCAGCTGACTCCTGTGCCAAGGAACCAGCGGTCCCTTGGGCGCCTCTTCCTGCTGTGTTTGCTTTTCTTCGATCCTTAGTTGGGCGCACAGGTAGGTCAAGTTCGGGGGGACAAGCTTCGCAAAGATCGGCGCATCACCTGCTGATCTTCCCACCGAACTCCACGCACGAGCCAAAACAAAGTGATACAGTGATACACGTGCACACCGTTTTCTATCCCTTGAAGGGGGGCACCCCAACAAATCGATTTGGACATCAAAAACTGTAGCTGATGATGATCAACCCTGCCCACATGGTCACAATCAAAGCGGTGTGGGGGTTTGGTAGTAGTGTGCTCCAAACCTCCCACATCCTTTGGATCTGACACTTTTCCGAGTCCGACCAATACAGAATTGCAAGCAATTACCATTTACAGATCCCTGCCCATGGCATAGAACAACAACCTGAAACTGGTTCCGTTCCTGCAACGAAGTGGACTTCTAGGAAACCAGCAGGCCCCTGTGGAAGAGAAAAGGGTCTTCCAGGGAAGCCTGCCATCAATTATTGCTGGATGAAGCCGGAGCATATCAAAACTCAGAACACGCGCCAGCACCTTCCAGCAGGGGGTCACCTGGCTGGAAACTCTTACACTACGTACAGGGATCTCAAGCCAGGACACCCCGTGCTTTCAGGTTCAGTTTTGATCTTTCTGAACACCTCCATGGTCAGCAAACATCCTCCCGACCACGTCCAAGAAGTGGAGCCAGCAAGCCAACAAAGGCTGAAGAGCCCCATCGACCCTGAAAGACTATCCCATAGGTAGTTTAGTGGGGTCCTATTTACGGTCACTGGCTACCTCTCTTGGAAGTCAACATGCGCGTCCACCACCGTCCAAGAGTCTCGGGCTTCTCATCAGACTGCATCTTCCCCTTCATGCCTTCGGACTCCATGAAAGCCGCTTCCGGCTCGGTTTCGGGGGCCTCTTCCGCAGTGTCGAATTTGTGGCTTCCTTAGGTGCCAGACGAGAGAGGAACAAGTGCTGGAACTAGTGCTGGATGGTGATGAGTTGGCAGTGACTTCTTCTTCTGCACTGACATGGAGAATCCCTACTTATATACAGTCCTGCTCATGGTTTATATTTTTTGAATGTCTTGGAGTTTTAGAAGGACGATGAAGGACGTATCCCAAGAAGTATGTCGCACTTTTGGGTGGAGATTATAGATCAAAGACGGCAACAACTGCCACTGAGTTCTGCTGAAGATAGAACAACATGTTTGCAATGAGTTACCTCCGGATGTAGGCAGGCGTTTCTGGATGTCCGGCTGTACGGAAATTTCCCAGTGGTTTAGTCAGGTTGCTGGTGATCCTCGTTGGTTGACCCAGCGCCATGAGCGGACAAAGCGTTCCGCCCAAGAAGGAAAGAACGAGTTCCTGAAGTGAAGAAGGTGAAGCTCCTGAGTCCCTTCCAAGACCAACAAACTGGTTGACCGATTTTTGGGTCGTGTGAAATCCGTCACTTGATTCTTCCACCATCTACCCCTCTCAGCTCAAGTAGTGCCTGAGTGTCCTTCCACCTCCGGAGTCTGCTCGGGTCCATCGGGACCCAGAGCCTCCACCGGCGCGGTGGTTGGCGGCGTAGCGGGCGTACCGGGCGTGGAGGCCTGCGGAGCAGCGGCACAGGGGGCTGGGGTAGAGGGGCTCAGCTTTCCAATACTGAGGATCTAGGCTTGACTGTACTTGTAGGCTCTTGAATCTCTCTTCCCTACATGCAACACTGCCACCGTACCTCAGAAGCTACGACCGGACCCTGCAAACCGACGTCAACATGTCTTCAATCACCTTCTCAAAGGGTGCAGTATGTGCATCCAGAATGATCCGTACATAGATTTTGAACAAAAAAACAGACCCTAATTTGGATGGTGAAAAATCGCTTGTTCGCGCATAGCGCCCTGCAAACGGATCTCACGATCCAACCACCGGTTCGTCGATGAACAAATGCCAAATCCCAGGGCCAGGTCAGCAATTCTCGAATTGGTCGAAGAGACATGCTGCCAAAGACCCCATTCAACACCCAAATGGCCTGCACAGTTCTTCAAGTGCCGTCTCCATCGTCTCCCCAAACCTGCCTCTGCAAGGGGTTCTGCTGCTGGCGCGGGCTCGGGGGTCATTGGAACGGGCGGTGGCGGTGTGACGGCAGCAGGCGGTGCAGGTGGTGCGGGGGCCGGCGCCGGGGGCGCAGGGGGCGCAGGGGGCGCAGGTGGTTCCGGCTCTTTCTGAAGGTTCGCCTGCCAGCGGAGCTTTTGGACCCGTCGCTCAGACAAAAGAGTAGCGTAAGACAAAGAAAGGGAGCCCAAGAAGGAAGAACCTCTTCCTTGTTTTCTCTGTGAAACTTGGAGATGGGGTTTGAAATTGAAGTTTAAATGTTGGAAGTGGCTGCTTGAGTGAGACACACAAGGGAGTAGGTTAAGCTTCTTGACAACGTTGCTGTGGAGTTGTGGAATCAAAGTTGGACCACGTAGATCAATGGAGTTGTAAACAGCCCCATGGGACATACTGGCAGAACTCCGGGTCAAAGCCGCTCAACAAATATATAAACGAGGTCGGTGCAACCAACAGGATTAGAGGTTAGAACCCCCCACCCCAACCACCTTCGAAAGAAAGGTACTTAGAGCCCTAGGGATGACTCACGTCCTGCAATCCAATGAACATGGAATGGGGAAGTCAATCGAATCACGATCCCAAACTCTCCTTGTGTATATGGGGTGCTTGAAAAAAAAGATGTCAACATGTATCATGCGTATTCCAATGCCCCCTACATCTCCATTGGTCCATATGGGTTTTAACCAGCGACCTGGCGTCTCTGACCATGAGTAATTACCAAACATGATAAACCAAGTGCCTTTATTTCTTTGTTATGCAGGACTCACCTCCCAGAACGACGCACGACAAGGGGTCGTCTCGGCACATGGCCCCGAATCGTTTTCGGTGAAACAGGGGTTGAATGAGCCAAATGCAGCTCCAGGCCACTGGAACACCCAAGGGCCCCGTCGCAGCCGTGTCCGCCTCCTGAGAAAGGACCCGCGCGCGGTGTGCGGGGGGGCGACCGCACTGGTGGAGGCGCGAAGGCGAGACGCGGACAAGGACGAGACCCACATGCCTAGGGATCCAGTCGTACCGAACCTGAGGTACCGTGATGTGTTCGACACTCTTATGTAGGTTTTGAGGGTCCAGCCGTACCGAACCTGAGGTTCGGTACGACTGGATCCCTAGGGCATGAGACAATGAACCTGAATGAACCTGAGTCTTCCACGCCCCGGTGAGTCACAAGTCCATGTGACCTGGTTCGGTCTCGAGCGCCGGGTGTTGTGTGAAGCTCGTTCCGCCTGACTTCTCGACTCGTTTGGATCCCTGGTATGTATGACTCCTAGGGATCCAGTCGTACCGTCTCAGGTTTGGTACGACTGGACCCTGCAAACATACCCAGACACTCCCTGTATGCCATATATGCCTACATGGACTGCCTACATTGACCCCCAAAACCACCTCAATGTAGGCAGTCCTATGGCATACATGGTGCGTCTGGGATACAACAACATGTCTCCAATCACCGTGCCTCAGAGGGTGGCAATCCACAGGAAGAGGTTCACCCAACGTTCCACCCCCTTTGTTTCCACCTTTCCTTGGGTTTTTCGTGGGGTGGGCCACTCTGCTACGCGGTTATATAAGGGTTTATTGTTCGCTTTCATGCGCAGGAGGTGTTCCAAGAAGATCCCCATCCATAATGGATCCACAGACCCTCTGAGACGGTGATGGGAAAAAGATCGTTGATGGAGGCGAAGTGAGGGTCCAAGTGGCGAAGTGAGGGTCCAAGTATGTCCTACCTTTTTTGAGAAGTCCGGAATGGCTTTGCATATCCAGGCCTGTGCTTGTCATCAACAGTCTACCTTACCCGGAAGAAATCTTGAGGAAGGAACGTCATATAACATCATTGCTATGTAACATGTATGTAACCCTCAAAGAGCTCCAAAGACTCAATGAATCATAATGAATCTAATCACGGAATCTAAGCAGTACCGTCTTTGAAAGGCCCATGTTCCACTTCTTTGATGGTCTAAGGGAGGGCATATGCCCACCATTACCACTCTTCAACCACCCCAAGACTAAGATGTATCAAACATGGAGTGGAGCCTTGTACATGTCCCCACGCTGAAAGGTAAAAAACAACTCAGACTCTCACTCGGAAGTTTCCAAACTCCCAAAATTGACCAACTGATTAAACTTTGTGGGATGCGTTCATTCTTTGAATGCATGCAATCAAACGGAAATCCAAGAGTGGTGGCTGGCTGCAAAAAGGCTGGCTGTAAGCTGTCATGGAGATCATAAAGAATTGGTGCCCGCTGCCCTACCTGTTTATTGAACAGCTGCTGGAACTGATGTCTATTTGGAGGCCACTGTAGCATTCACCATGTAGCGGTTATTGTCTACATGGTATGACTACCAGTACTACAACTCTGGTAGGTGCAACGTTCCTTTCCAATCGATGCCAGAAGTGATGATTACAAGCTTTAACATATTGGAAAAACAAAGGTTCACCACTAGGTTAACCCGTTTAACACTTTTAACATCATCTGTTGGCTTCAAGTACGGTTCCCTGTCCCCCCACAAGGGTCACACGGGTCACCTGCACATCCACCGATTCCCAGAGATCGCAACCATTCGCCAACATCATGGTGCACCGAACTTTTCATCTCTTCATGTCTAGTGGGAAGAAGATGCTATTGGAGGCCATCGCTACTATTAGCGCTCTAGTAGGAGGCCACGTCATGGCGACCCCCAAACATCACTTAACAAGCCTTCACGCTTGCTCCCTCCTCCATTCGCGTGCCGTCCGTGCCGTATCTATTGCTCCAAGCATCCGGCACCGGCACAGAGAGGTGGAAGTAGGGACAAACCCGGACCGAGACCTTCTTGCCTCAGCCCATTTCTCGGCGGAAGAGGTGGCAACACTCGGACTGGAGGGTTGAACCATGCCACCAAGGGCTTCGATTCTTCCAAGGGCCATTCATGATATTCATATTCATGGGTGGTTTTGGGTTGGGGTGGTGACCAGGTCATCGGAAGACACGACGTGTCAACCAGTTGACGTCTTCGGTACCCCGGCTAGACGAACTCTGGAGACGTTGGTTTCAGCTACTCACTGATGCACAAACACCGGTGGTTTCAGAGTGGCATGTCGTTTTCCCCCAAGTTGGGTGGCTTCTAATGAACCTACCCCCATCTGTTCAACACCTCCCGGGGCGCCGAATTATACGTGCCTGTGCCCGCACGCGTCGCGGGTCCAAGGGGCAATTCCAGCACAGCACGGTGGAGCAAACCTGCCCCTGGAAACACGAGGCCGCCGCCTGGCAGTCGAGAAGCGACGGAGCGAGCGATGGTAAGTGTACTTTGGACCCCTCAGGATGAGCCGAGCCTCAATGGATCCCCCCGAGCGATCCACATACTGTAGCTTCTCATCAGAAGGTACGACTGGACCCTGATGAAGCTACATGAACATGTCTCCTTCCTCACCGTACCTCAAGAGGGTACGTTGTTTCATGTGAATGTTCGCCACTCCAGAAGTGGGCCCAGTGGAGACTCAAAACAAAACTGCTTTTCTTTTGAGCACCGTGGGTGATGGTCGTATCATATCAGGACATCAATCTAGACCTCCCGGTCTGCACTGCAGCCATCTCCAAGCACACCTTCAGATCCAGTCATCTCCCCATCCAACTCCTCTGGCCTCTCCGGATGGCTCCGGATCTTCTTGATCCTCCTCCTGCGGCTTCTTGTTGCCTCCAACGCAGCGCACCCGTTTTAAGGACTTGGATGCAAAGGGCACCCCAAAAATGGCTAATGGCTAAACACTTCAACCACTCATGATGATGTGATGAATGGAATGGTCTTGACAAAAATAAAACATTACGAAATATTACGAACATATACAAGCACTAGCACCTTCAAGAGGGTCACCTGGCTGGAAGCCCCAGCCCACCACTAAGGGACCTCCAGCCAGGACACCCCTTGAAGGTCCAGGTACGAAGATCTGTACCATATCAGTGATGGACAAGATCTCTGGCGATATCCTTACCCTCTTAGGGATGCGAGATGGGGAGAAGGGGCCGACCCAAACCATAGAAATCCTCATATGCTTCTTGTGATCCACAGCCACGATAACGTTATGCAGCTATGCAAGAAGAATCAAGCACTTGACTCCAGCAGTTTCTCTCATTGTCAAAGCTACCAACTGAATGACGGTTTAACGACCCGTGAGTGACGCTCCTCACAAAGTCAATGAACTCAAAACTGGACTTCAAATGCCAGGACCTTCAAAGTGTCGTCCTTGAGATCCCAGAATGAGGCCACTGGTGGGTGGCTTTGGGGTCACTGTCACATGGAGGGCTCTCTTGAATACCCTCGACCAAACACACAGCCATTTCACAGCCGTTGATCGGCGTCTTCTGTAGTCTTCAAGTTGCTCCGTCTGCTCCCAATCCCTCTGTTCAATCTGGAAGAGAAAAACACCTCCCACTGGCTTCCTCAGTCACCTCCTTCGCCCAGTGGCCGTTGGTGTTCTTGGGCTTCTCGTCGGCGACGGCGCCGACCAAGGTGCAGAAAAACTCGTGGGCATCATGTTGCCTTTGGCGGCGAGCCCACGACGCAACCAGGAAAGCTGCAGGACCCTATTGCCGTATTGGCCGTGTTGTGCAAGACGTGGCTGGAGTTGTTCGATGTCTTGGAAGGGAGTTGTAAGTAGGAATCTGGAGACCTTGGAATAAACTATACACTGATCACTGAAATCAACCACTCGGACTGATCGCTAAATATGTGAGTCTTATAGGTTGTCAATGGTTGTCGGCGCTATTTGGTGGTGAACTACCTCACTATATGGAAACTGCCGAAGAGGTGTGCAAAATATGCTTTTTCTGCACCAGGAGCGGTGCACGTGTTGCCATTGCCAAGGTTGAGTCGTTGTTTGCACGCAGGTAGATATGGTTCATCTTGGATTTGCTGTCCAGGCAACTGGAAAACATATGCTCCAGGTTAAGGGGATTTAACAATTAAAAAAGCACCTGATTCGCAAAACCAAGAGAATGTCCCAAGCAGCACCAGAACATCCCAAGCAGGACCTGAGGAGAAGATAAAGCTAAAGACGTCTCAAATAAAGGCTCGACTCCTTTGGAGCTGTCAAAAGGCAAGGATTTCTTTCCCAACATGCCACCTCTCCAGCCACATTTCAGATTTTGGGTGAACCATGGTAAAGCCTTCAAATAACAACCGTTTAACCCCCAAAACATCACAGAAATGCACAGAAAGCACAGCACATCCCTCTCCCAGGTCTCGTGATTCCAGGCTGCTGATGACCCTTAAACCACGGAAACTTGTTGCCTCGGCACAAGTGCCAAGCGGGACGCGAGTCGCGGTTGTGCACGACACGAGTCGCAGGAAAACGGGCAAAGAAGCTGGGGCATCGGGTCATGTTCTGGGCAGAGAATATTCGGACACAACTTCTAGTCTTCTAGAACCCAGACGCTCCAAACAGCCCTTGGTCCCTCAAAACCTAGGGGTTTGAGACCCCAGACCCCTCCATATGAGGGCCCATGAGCGTCTGAGAAGGATGATTTCTGGGAGAGCCGTTTTCTGGGTGCAGTGGAGATCAACATTGCATTCACCGAAAACCACATTTAGGATCATTTAGGGGGGTTGTCTAGATGTTGACCCAAAAACTGGTTCAAGCATGCATAAATAGGTGTTTTATTGCTGGTATTGCCTTGCCGATGGTTTTTCAAGTGCCAACATAGAAGGGCCTCCTCAACTGTCGCAAGATGCCATCTTAGTCTTAGATCACAATAGAACATAGCTGCACTCACCAACACCGTTCGGCCAACCAACCCACCAACCACCACTGAACACAACCTCCACTCTCACCAGGAGCCTCTCCGGAGTGCACCAAAGAGGCCCAGTGCAGCACAGAGGCCCCAGTGCCCTCGTTTCAACCCAGTGGCAAAAGGCTCCATGAAGGGCCTTCGGTCCGACCGGTGCTCCTGGGCCGCTCAAACTACGTAGGACCTCAGCACGCCGACCGCGGGGCCGCTTCGGCGGCCGTGCCAGGGTCGGGTCCATACCGAAACCGCGGAGGTGACGACCTGGAGCCCAAAGGGGGGGGGGGGATGAGATCCCAAGGTGGTTGGAAAGCAACTTTCAAGGTAGGCCATATTGTTTGAATATTCATCCCAATTCGATCTACGCGGGAGAGAATTGAGATCCCAAAGCCCTGAAGCTGTGAGGGTCTGGCTCAAACATGCTCAAACGAATCGAGGAACCGAGGGTTTGGAACAGTCCCTTGGGCGTCACTGCTGGCCTCCAAGAAGGCAGCTAGCAGCTACTAGTAGACCCTCCAAGCAGCTTCTCAAAGGGTCTTTGGTTTCACGGAAGTATCCGATCCATGGTCGATCGGAACTTGTTCTCTCTCCTCTTCTCAGGGGCTGAGGATTTGCATGGAAATACTTACCATTTGGCAGTTCAATGCCCGCTGTGAAAGAAATAGCAAGGGCGTCAACGCAAAACACAATGCCTCAAGGGCAAAGACTCAATGTGTGATACTGCCTCAGTAGACCTCTCCTGCGGCAACCCGTCTCTTCTTGCCGTTCCTGGTAGAGGAATCTCGACAGAGCACTCCCGGCGTGGGCAAACTAGAATCAATCATCAAACAGTCTAACTGCCGCTTACTCTGCTGCTCTTGTTTGGTCAAAAAAGCCAACAGGTGTCCACATGACTTGCTTCTCTCCCCCCTGAGCCTCTCCAGCAACGCCAAGCGGCGCTGCCCAAAGAGCAGCACATGCTGTTGCCAGTGCCCGGCGGCAAGGAATCTCCTGGGAGAGAATTCTGGCTACAACCAGGGCAAGGGAAGGAACATCAACCATCGACGATCTCTGTCAACAAAAAAACGAGAATTCGCAAGTTCCGCCCCACCAGCTCTGCAAGATTCTCTTTCCCCATCTGTCAGGTAGCTTCAGATCTGTTTCGACTGGATCTGATCGACGCAGAGGTTCTCATGATTCCGCGGAGCAACTCAGAGGTTCCCCCAAACAAGTGGATCATGTAATGGTTTCCAACATTTGCCGGCCTTTGTCGACAGAAAGGAGATTTGGGTGGGCTTCTTGTGTTGTTTGGAATGGCTTTGGAGGGTCCCACCATCTTGTCAACAGCTGGATGAATCTGTCCCACAAGTGATGGAACAATGGAGCACTGCTGACATCCACCTGGATTCGACCTGTTCCCTAGGGCCGGGTTTGAGTTCGGGTCGGTCAAACCTCCCAAATCCGGCTCCAGTCGTAGCTTCGTTTCGAAGCTGGGACTTCTAAAAACCCGGGTGCGTCGGGTCCAGTCATACCGGTTCCCGGTTTGGAGGTACGACCACGGAGCCCGAACGGGCCATGGACTTTGAGCTACCCAAACGGTCGGTCCACAAGGCCCAAGATGCGAAACTCCGCCGCGGCGTGCATGCATTGTATCACGCTGTTGACCTTGTGAAAGCGGATGGGTGGAACAAGGATCAAACGCTTGGAGCTACCGCAAAGACCCAGTCTGACATGCAGTTCCAGATTCGACACTGAGCTGAAACATGTGTCCAATCCTAAGTGCCCTGGGCACAACCAAACATTGACCTTGGAAGAAGTTGGATGATATAAAGATATATAAAGCGAAAGTATCTGGTTCTTCATTGATTCATCTGGCCTTTTGATAAACGACTTTGAGGTCACTGATGCCTCCAACAAATCACTTGGGGGTCAACAAATGGTGATGTGTGCAGTTGTAAAAGTATGGTAGTTGTCGGTGACCTCCCTGTCCGCCCTGTCCCGGAAAATCGAGGCTTAACCTATGTCGCGAACCTTTTTCCACCTGTCTATCTATCTCTAGTCATGTTTCCCCCATCTCCACCCCCTGCAGATTATCCACTTTTCCTGGGTGTTGGATAGGGGCAAGCCCTGAAGAAGATCCTCTGCATGTCCAACACTGCAATTCCCTGAGAAGTCTTTGCATAGATTGGGAGTGAGCGATTTCAGTGCTAAGCTCCTGAGCCGCGGGAGGATCATCACCTGGAAGGACTGGAACCTCCCGTTCTCACCGGTCTCACCCCAGAAGGGCGGAGGTCGAGTCACGAAAACTGAAGACAAAGTCGCCCCGTGAAGCAGAATTGGTACCTTTACGCATGGTAGCTTTCTAAAACAAAAACCGCCTGCTACAAGGATCTGCAAAGAAACCATGTCCGATCGCTTACTGGACTTGTGTGGCAACTTCATGAATGACCCTTTCCAAAAGGTCCCAAGAACGAGAGATGTTTCAGACCACCTGACCATGCCCCCCCCAAAAAAATAAACACACTCCATGTCTGTATGCCATATATGCCGATCAATTGACCCCCCAAACCATCCCTGGCCGTTTCTCGGCAGTCCGTCCTGTCAGTCCCAGACGTGTCGTGTAGTGTGTCGTGTCATGTCATATCCGTAGATGTGTCGTGTCTGAGAAATGGCAATCCCACCTTTGCCCACCCCAGTGCCCTCACAGCTCCAGTCACATAGCAAGTGTTGCCCAAATTCTTTAGGCCCTTCACGCCTTTCCGGGCGTCGCCTGCGGCGTGAGACGGCACGAGGAAGTGTCCCAAAATCACCCCTGCTTAAAGCAGGTACTACGGTTCGATTGGAGGTCGTGCTCCCAAATACTCCAGGTCCAGCCAAGTAGAAGGCAAGAAGGGCTGCGTAACCGGGTCACCGTCGAACACTATAAATAAAACAAACCCACGCAGCAAATCCGAGTCAACTGCCTCAGCAAGGTTTCATCAGTGACAGGCAGGGCGCAAACAACAATGTGGTGAGTTCTAGTTCATCCACATGGCTGGTGCCACAAACACTGTCACGGAGTTGTGTTTCAAAAATGGGCACAGCAAAAATCCAGAGGATCCAAAATAGTCACAAATCACCTTGCAATTCATAGCCATAATTACTTGTCGTGGTTAGTTCCTCTCTCCTAACCATCCAACACTGCAAGGCCGCCGTGCGAAAACGGACCTGACCCTGCCTGGCGCTGCGCATGGTTGCTCGGCCTCTTTTGCGTTGGCACGCGCTCGCGCGGCCGCTTGCTTCTTGGCGCCCTTCTTCACCATGGCTGACACATCACTGGCAAAGAAGTACCGTGATGATTCAAATTTCAATGGATGGGCTGAAGGAATCCTGCAAACCAAGCAGGACAGTGAACATCACAGTGTGGAAACCCTGGCCCAGGAGGAATCCAAATTCAAACACTTGGCCTACCTACGGGCAATGCGCGGCCTTGTAAACGTCACCTTACCAAACCATGCAGGGGTTAACCCCAAACAATTTGGGAAACCTTCCTTCTGCAATGTTTGTCGGAAAACCTGGTCGAATCACCTAACTGCGAAGGGAAAACCAAAAGAACTGGAGACATGGCGCGTGTGTGAGCACTGTACGTTCAACCAGAGAAGCCGGATTGTTCAAACGGCCTGCGTGCAAAATGCGCTTGATTCTCGTTTTCATGCTAATGCCAAACGATGTCAACTGCCTAAGAGAAAGGAAACCCCAAGGGCAGATTCATCGAAGGCTGAAGTCGGAGCCAGGCTGCAGGAACGGCGGGGGCACTGTGGGCCTCTTTGACTGCACATGTTCCCATGTTGCCTCTTGCCAAGACCCCCCACATCCACAACATATTTGAACCAGCGCAAGTCGGCTGATCGACTTCACACCCTCTAGCCTGGCCAAGCCCTGCAAAATCTTGGAAGCGAAGCTACAAAGTCGTTTGTCACCAGCCTGTAGACCAAGGCCTGTTGGGGTTGGTTCTTCCGAAAATCTCTGCCTCCTGACGTTCAAGAACCGACGAGGGCTAGAGCCCCAATTGTTCTTGCCCATGTCTCCTCATGCTTTGTCCTCCCTCGACCCACAGCACGGCACTTTACGAACATCACGGGCGGCGTTCATCCGCCAGGCTGACCACTTGACCGCAGCCGACCGCTCCGCATGCAACACGTGCGCTGTGCCCGAAAGAGCACACGTTGACAGCTTATAGCCAAACGCCTACCCAAACGGAGGGTGTACCAAGTGGCTAGCCAGCCCAACCTAAGCAGCTGCCGGCTCTGTGCTAAAGCCCTGGCCTTGGCACATCTAATCTGCAAGCATAGACCAACTTCCCTTATCAGCGGTAAGGCTTCTTCATACCCTCTGCTCTGTCTCCCAGATCACTGCACTCGTGAGAAATACAAACGAATTGCTTTCTGACCAGCAGCAGTTCGAGTCGAATCCTGTCAGGTAGCCACGCGAAGCCGCGGTCAACTTGAAGAGAACCTCACCCGTCCCAAGGGGGAGTTGAATTCAGGTGAAGAAGAACCGCCTCTCATGACATCTCGTGACTCAACAATTTTAGGTCATTGAGTCATTGGGGAGGATCCAGGCCCCAAAGCTAATTGAACTCAAGGTTGCTGAGGCAACCTTTCATGATAAGCGTTCAATTCTCTACAAGATATACACTATACCGCTATACCCCTCCAAAGGTTTGGTGTTTTAAGAGAACTCTGCGCGCAGCATGGAAAAACTGGTCAACCAGCGTTCCAAGTCACCAACCAATCAACCAATCCCCAATCCCAACAACTCCGTGCGTCCAAAATGTAAATCCAAGATTGAACCCAGGTGGCCTCTGTATAATCAATATACACCCTGGAACAAATCCACATGGACCCTGAACACCACTGGTTGGTAGAGGAAAACCATCTTCCAGTGGGCCAGGACGTCAGGGTCTATGTTAGTTTTCGGGAGTGTATTACTTAATGACTCAGTAAATTGGGGTGATAGCGCACTGAAATTGGTAGGGAGAACCGCATCCGAACGGTCTCTTCACTTCATTGGATCAGACTCTTCAGCCATGAAACCCACCCACGCAAGCTGCCAACCAGTTTCACGAAGGAGCCCCGGACTCCAACCACCCTTGGGTGTGCAGCTGTTTATTCCACAAGTTGCGCCAGGATTTTTTTGCGCATTTTTGGCGCCACCGCCAACTTGTTCGTATTCCAACCCACCACGTGAACCCCTGACATCCCCTGACGCAATGCACATGATCCTTCGTCCGGCGCACCGATCGCGAGGGAGACCATGCACCAGGTGACCCTCCAAAGGATCCAAGCACTATCCGTCCGCTCGCGGGGCTTGGGGTCCACGCCGGGCGACGCCGCGGTCGGTGGCGCCCTTCCACCAAAGCTCCCTGAGTTTGAAAGGCTGGTCCAGCCACCTGGTCCTTGACCTCATTGGATACCCAGACCGTTCATGGGACTGGCAACATGTTCCTAATTAATTACATTGGTGTGGTTTCAGGAATGTATGTAACTATGCCAGTCCCATGGATGGTTTTGGTGTGAACGGGCCATAACGGGCCTGAGGACCTTGACCTTCTGGGTTCCATATGGAATGTTATCCGCTCACGCTCGATTCGGGAATGGTCTGATGTTCGGAAATCGGGGTGACCAAAAGTCCTGGGATCTCAAGTTGGGCCACTTGGTCCTGGTCAAGGTTTAAGCCCTAGGGCTCCAAGTACCTTCCTAGAAGGTGTTTGGGGAGGGTTTAGAGGGTCCAGTCATCCCTTCTGAGGAGGTACGACTGGAGCCCAAACGGGAAGACTCAACATCTCTGAAGCCACCCAGCTTCTTCAGTTGACCGAACTTTCCAGTTCCAGTCCACCGAACTTGGGCCGAAGTCAGGATATCCAGATCGGTCACGTACTGAAGAACCTGACAGGAGTCACAGAGCTCGGGGTGGAGTGAAACGTCCCATCCAGTGAGTGGATGTGACAGGGGCACCCCGACTACCTCCATGGATCGCACCCCGACATGTGACTGCTGGTGGGTAATCATGTTTGAATACTGGTTGGTGTTATCAACCCACTTGAAAAATATGAGCCAAAGGGTCCAATCATCACAAAGTAAGTGTTGAACATAAACATATCGGAAACCATCACCTAGCAATACCTAGCATATGTTTGCATGTGTTCTTTCTCCCTCTTCCAGGGCAAAATGCATGAGCTCGGGCCATACGTGTTTCATAGGTCCATCATGGTATAGGTGTATCTTTGACAGGGTCTTCCCGGTTCATTTGTGCCCCAAAAGGGCTCTGGGTTGCAGGTAGAACTGGACCCCCCTGGCACCCCCCAAACACCCCAGCTAGCTGGGGTGGAGGACCTCCAGTGACGGACCTAAAGGCCTTCTGCAGCTGAGCCACCCCTCCGCGCAGCGCCAATGGGTGTCGGGGGGCGGACCCTCCACGGCCTGCAGCGGAACCACTTGGGGTCCACCAGCGGAAGACCACCGGCGTGAGCATCGCGTCAGGACTCGCGTCAGTCGGTGAGCCGTATTCCGAAAGGAATTGGCTGAAAGAACTGCGAAAACATCGAGAACTGGTGTCTTCCCCCCCCTGCCCCCACCACTTTCCCAATGACCTGTTCACGGGTTGGTCCGCCTGTGAAAACGACCAGAAAGTGACCCTTTCTTTTTCGCCACTGGGATCGGAAGGCACGGTCACTTGCATCAGACCCTTGCAAAGAGGGAATTATCATCCTGCAGTCACAAAGGGGTGCGATCCATGGAGGTAGTCGGGGTGCCCAGAACATCCACTCACTTGGACCATGACAAATCACATCAAATGAAGCAAAACCAGATCTTCCCCTTCCCCCCAAATCGGTGCCAACACCGTACTTCCTCTGGGATCCTATGATGTATGACATGTCTCATCCGCCTCAAAACGACCGGCCTTTCGACGGGGGTGGTGTTTGGATCCGATCCAATTCACCTAGGCCTCCAGAGTCGTACCTTCTGAGGTTCGGTGGCCAGGAGGGTCCAGTCATGCCGAACCTGAGGAGGTACGACTGGAGGTGTAGGGTTCACCACCAACTTGGCGGCTGTTTCCTGCCACATGTCTCAACATGCCTGCCAGAATACGTGAATCCTGTCTGTTTGATACAGTACTCCGATTTGAGGGCCCCCCGCGGTCCAAGGATCACTTCTTTGGGTACCTCTCACAGTCCAGTGCTCGGAGCACTGACTGTGTGCGAAGTCCGGTGTTGAGGTGACTCGATCCATCCGTCCCTGTGGATCGGAGCAGCGCCAGTCTGGCAAACCACAGAAATACAGAATGTGGACTGGTAGATGAGAGGAAATACACACCATACGAGATCTTTCACCATCATGACCATATAGAAGACATGCTTCATCAGTCACTATGATTATAGCCAATTATAGCTTCCAATGTATGCCAATCTATGACTCACACCTCTCAGATCACTATGCTTCGAAGTGCTGTGCTCACCCCTCCTCCTCCGCGGTCCCACCCACCGGCACGAAACCTACGAACCTACGAACCTTCCGTGCAGGTGGGCTCTTCCGAAAGAGGCAGCTGCGGACACCTGAGGCCGAAAACAGCAGCTGCGGCCGGACGTGTGGCGGGACGTGTGGTCTTGGATTGGCTGGCCCAGGCCCAGGAAACGGACAAAACTTAACAAAAACAACAACATACAATACTAGCATATGGCATATGGTTCCCCAGGTAAGGGGATTCACCCACAGAACATCAAAACATCACCTGCTCTGCCAAGGTGAGATGCCAGCGATCGTCGAAACCACATCGAACTCGAGTTTGGGCGCGGGTTTCGAAAACGATCTCTTCCCCAAATCACCTCCCAGGACCTTCCACCCGTGACGTCTTCAAGATTGGTAGACGTGGACGTGGCCTTTTCAAAGCTTTCGTCCGGTTGCACGGGACAGATTTACTTCCAAATGGTGTCGACGTGCCTCTAGTTCTTTTCTGCACGATTTGTTTCTATAGTCTTTTGCGGTTTGATTTGCTCTAAGTTCATCTCCGATAGATTCTTCAAGAAGTCAAGTGGGCCGTGGCGCCGGGACGTGCTTCCCACCGAACAGGAACAAACCGCTGGACATGGTCCACCAGCTGTGAAGAGGTCCCAGTTTGGACTGTCCAAGGGAACGACTGGAATCAACCCTTAGGCGGTTCAACATGCAGCGTCTAGTAAAGACCCGCATAGCATATTCTGCTCTTCGTACTCTTCATTGGTTGCTGGGTCTTCCCAAAATGGTCCTCTAAAGTCCTGATCCTCGGCTGTTTTGGTGTCTTTCCACGTCTTTTCCAGAACCAATGGTCTTTCGTGGCCGGTGCAG